GATTACAGTGACCAGTCCGTTTCCTTGCCGCCTCTGCCCCTTTCCGCGTTGGATGTGGGGGAGGGGGCCTGTGGAAAAAGAGGGTGGGATTTGCCAGCCAGCATGTTTTTATTGCTGGCGTCGCCTTCGCGTGGGGGGCAGCGCGTGGGTTTGGGGCAAAACATTGTCGCATGTTGGGTTCTGTGAACCGGGAATGGTAAGCCATTGCTTTGCGCCGCCATGGTCGGGTATCGCGAGGCAGGCACGGGGCCTGACGCTCACCGTCCGCTGCGCAGCGCGGTGGCCGGCCCAGCGCGGGGCCCCGCACCCTGGAAGCCACGGCTGGCACCTGTGCGAAGGCACCCCGAGGCCTCAAAGGAGGCACCCCGTTAGTTTTTGTTGTGCCCCAATCTCCCTTGAACGCGGTGTCCAAGGATGAACCCCATCTAAGGCACCCCGAGGCCTCAAAGGAGACACCCCGTTAGTTTTTTTGTTGTGCCCCAATCTCCTTTGAACGCGGTGTCCAAGGATGAACCCCAACTAAGGCACCCCGAGGCCTCAAAAGAGACACCCCGTTAGTTTTTGTTGTGCCCCAATCTCCCTTGAACGCGGTGTCCAAGGATGAACCCCAACTAAGGCACCCCGAGGCCTCAAAAGAGACACCCCGTTAGTTTTTGTTGTGCCCTAAATCTCCCTTGAACGCGGTGTCCAAGGATGAACCCCAACTAAGGCCACCCCGAGGCCTGCAAAGGAACACCCTGTTATTTTTGTTGTGCCCCAATCTCCCTATGAAACGGGTGTCCAAGATGAACCCCACACGTGCACCCCGAGCCCTCAAAAAAGCAAGACCCCGTAGTTTGTGTGTGGCCCCAATTCTCCCTTTGCACGCGCGTCAAGGATGAACCCCAACGAAGGCACTCCGAGGCCGCAACGGAGCCACCCGTTAGTTTTTGTTGTGCCTCAATCTCCCTTGAACGCGGTGTCCAAGGATGAACCCCAACTAAGGCACCCCGAGGCCTCAAAGGAGACACCCCGTTAGTTGTTGTTGTGCCCCAATCTCCCTTGAACGCGGTGTCCAAGGATGAACCCCAACTAAGGCACCCCGAGGCCTCAAAAGGAGACACCCCGTTAGTTTTTGTTTTGCCCCAAACTCCCTTGAACGCGGTGTCCAAGGATGAACCCCAACTAAGGCACCCCGAGGCCTCAAAGGAGACACCCCGTTAGTTTTTGTTGTGCCCCAATCTCCCTTGAACGCGTTGTCCAAGGATGAACCCCAACTAAGGCACCCCGAGGCCTCAAAGGAGACACCCCGTTGGTTTTTGTTGTGCCCCAATCTCCCTTGAACGCGGTTGTCCAGGATGAAACCCCAACTAAGGCTCGGTAACCGCTTTCTCAATCTTGGAGACCCCGTCGACGATGTTGTCTTCCGATCTCCTTGAACGCGGTGTCCAAGGATGAACCCCAACTAAGGCACCCCGAGGCCTCAAAGGAGACACCCTGTTAGTTTTTGTTGTGCCCCAATCTCCCTTGAACGGGGTGTCCAAGGATGAACCCCAACTAAGGCACCCCGAGGCCTCAAAGGAGACACCCCGTTAGTTTTTGTTGTGCCCCAATCTCCCTTTGAACGCGGCGTCCAAGGATGAACCCCAACTAAGGCACCCCGAGGCCTCAACGGAGACACCCCGTTAGTTTTTGTTGTGCCTCAATCTCCCTTGAACGCGGTGTCCAAGGATGAACCCCAACTAAGGCACCCCGAGGCCTCAAAGGAGACACCCCGTTAGTTGTTGTTGTGCCCCAATCTCCCTTGAACGCGGTGTCCAAGGATGAACCCCAACTAAGGCACCCCGAGGCCTCAAAGGAGACACCCCGTTAGTTTTTGTTGTGCCCCAATCTCCCTTGAACGCGTTGTCCAAGGATGAACCCCAACTAAGGCACCCCGAGGCCTCAAAGGAGACACCCCGTTAGTTTTTGTTGTGCGCCAATCTGCTTTGAACGCGGTGTCCAAGGATGAACCCCAACTAAGGCACCCCGAGGCCTCAAAGGAGGCACCCCGTTAGATTTTGTTGTGCCCCAATCTCCCTTGAACGCGGTGTCCAAGGACGAACCCCAACCAAGGCACCCCGAGGCGTCAAATGAGACACCCCGTTAGTTTTTGTTGTGCCCCAATCTCCCTTGAACGCGGTGTCCAAGGATGAACCCCAACTAAGGCACCCCGAGGCCTCAAAGGAGACACCCCGTTAGTTGTTGTTGTGCCCCAATCTCCCTTGAACGCGGTGTCCAAGGATGAACCCCAACTAAGGCACCCCGAGGCCTCATAGGAGACGCCCCGTTAGTTTTTGTTGTGCCCCAATCTCCCTTGAACGCGGTGTCCAAGGATGAACCCCAACTAAGGCACCCCGAGGCCTCAAAAGAGACACCCCGTTATTTTTTGTTGTGCCCCAATCTCCCTTGAACGCTGTGTCCAAGGATGAACCCCAACTAAGGCACCCCGAGGCCTCAAAGGAGACACCCCGTTAGTTTTTGTTGTGCCCCAATCTCCCTTGAACGCGTTGTCCAAGGATGAACCCCAACTACGGCACCCCGAGGCCTCAAAGGAGACACCCCGTTGGTTTTTGTTGTGCCCCAATCTCCCTTGAACGCGGTGTCCAAGGATGAACCCCAACTAAGGCACCCCGAGGCCTCAAATGAGACACCCCGTTAGTTTTTGTTGTGCCCCAATCTCCTGTGAACGCGGTTGTCCAAGGATGAACACCAACTAAGGCACCCCGAAAGAGGCTCAAAAGAGACACCAAGTGTCCCTTTGTTGTTGCCCCAATCTCCCTTGAACGCGGTGCATGTCCAAGGATGAACCCCAACTAAGGGCACCCCGAGGCTCAAAGGAGACACCCGTTAGTTTTTGTTTGTGCCCCAATCTCCCTTGAACGCGTTGTCCAAGGATGAACCCCAACTAAGGCACCCCGAGGCCTCAAAGGAGACACCCCGTTAGTTTTTGTTGTGCGCCAATCTGCTTTGAACGCGGTGTCCAAGGATGAACCCCAACTAAGGCACCCCGAGGCCTCAAAGGAGGCACCCCGTTAGATTTTGTTGTGCCCCAATCTCCCTTGAACGCGGTGTCCAAGGACGAACCCCAACCAAGGCACCCCGAGGCGTCAAATGAGACACCCCGTTAGTTTTTGTTGTGCCCCAATCTCCCTTGAACGCGTTGTCCAAGGATGAACCCCAACTAAGGCACCCCGAGGCCTCAAAGGAGACACCCCGTTAGTTTTTTGTTGTGCCCCAATCTCCCTTGAACGCGGTGTCCAAGGATGAACCCCAACTAAGGCACCCCGAGGCCTCAAAGGAGACACCCCGTTAGTTTTTGTTGTGCCCCAATCTCCCTTGAACGCGGTGTCCAAGGATGAACCACCAACATAAGGCACCCCAGGCGTCAAAGGAGAACAACCCCGTTAGTTTTTTGTGGTGCCCCAATCTCCCTTGAACGCGGTTTGTCCACGGACGAACCCAACTAAGCACCCCGAGGCCTCAAAGGAGGCACCCCGTTAGTTTTTGTTGTGCCCCAATCTCCCTTGAACGCGGTGTCCAAGGATGAACCCCAACTAAGGCACCCCGAGGCCTCAAAGGAGTCACCCCGTTAGTTTTTGTTGTGCCCCAATCTCCCTTGAGCGCGGTGTCCAAGGATGAACCCCAACTAAGGCACCCCGAGGCCTCAAAGGAGACACCCCGTTAGTTGTTGTTGTGCCCAAATCTCCCTTGAACGCGGTGTCCAAGGATGAACCCCAACTAAGGCACCCCGAGGCCTCAAAGGAGACACCCCGTTAGTTTTTGTTGGTTGCCCCAAATCTCCATGAACGCGTGTCCAAGGATGAACCGAACTAAGGCGCCCGAGCCAAAGGAGACACCCCGTTAGTTTTTGTTGTGCCCCAATCTCCCTTGAACGCGTTGTCCAAGGATGAACCCCAACTAAGGCACCCCGAGGCCTCAAAAGGAAGACCCCCCGTTAGTTTTTGTTGTGCCCCTAATCTCCCTTGAACGCGGTGTCCCCAAAGGATGAACCCCAACTAAGGCACCCCGAGGCCTCAAAAAGAGACACCCCGTTAGTTTTTGTTGTGCCCCAATCTCCCTTGAACGCGGTGTCCAAGGATGAACCCCAACTAAGGCACCCCGAGGCCTCAAAGGAGACACCCGGTTAGTTTTTGTTGTGCCCCAATCTCCCTTGAACGCGGTGTCCAAGGATGAACCCCAACTACGGCACCCCGAGGCCTCAAAGGAGACACCCCGTTGGTTTTTGTTGTGCCCCAATCTCCCTTGAACGCGGTGTCCAAGGATGAACCCCAACTAAGGCACCCCAAGGCCTCAAAGGAGACACCCCGTTGGTTTTGGTGCCCCAATCTCCCTTGAACGCGGTGTCCAAGGATGAACCCCAACTAAGGCACCCCGAGGCCTCAAAGGAGACACCCCGTTAGTTGTTTTGTGCCCCAATCTCCCTTGAACGCGTTGTCCAAGGATTAAGGCACCCCGAGGCCTCAAAGGAGACACCCCGTTAGTTTTTGTTGTGCCCCAATCTCCCTTGAACGCGGTGTCCAAGGATGAACCCCAACTAAGGCACCCCGAGGCCTCAAAGGAGACACCCCGTTGGTTGTTGTTGTGCCCCAATCTCCCTTGAACGCGGTGTCCAAGGATGACCCCCAACGAAGGCGCTCGAGTCGCCACTCGCGAAGGCAAGCGCTTCCTAATCAGTGGGATGGTCCCCGCCTCCTGTGGCCCCCCTCTCCTGCTCGCCTTCCTCCTCCTCCCCCCCCCTTCCCCCTGCCTCCCCCCACTACCACTTCCTGCCCTCTCCTCTTCTCTCCTCTCTTTGTTTGTACCTCTCCCTCGACATCCTCCCCATCCTCCTTTTCTGGCCTCTCTTCCTCCCCTCCCCCCTCGTCCCTCCCCTCTCCTTTCCTCCTGCTCCCCGTGGTTCCTTCCCCCCCCCCTGTTCCTCCACAGTTCTCTCCATGCATTTGGGGCCCGCTGCCCAGCAGGCACGTGCTTGGACACCTATGAAGACCACGACGCAGGCGGGGAACAGCCCAGGAGGAGGAGGAGGAGGCGACGGAGGAGGAGGAGAAGGAGGAGACGGAAACGGAGATGGAGGAGGAGGGAGGAGGAGGAGGAGGAGGAGGGTGAGGAGGAGGAGGAGGAGGAGGAGGAGGAGAAGGAAGAGGCGGAAGAGGAGGATGAGGAGGAGGAGGAGGAGGAGGAGGAGGAGGATATGGAGGAGGCGGAGGAGGAGGAGGAGGAGAAGGAAGAGCAGGAGGAGGAGGAGGAGAAGGACGGAGGGTCATAGTTCCGGTCTTTACACGTGTTCCGTATTGGTTTTGCCTTTGTCGCTTGCCGTTTTGCCGCCACTGCCTGCCGTTCTCGCACACCGTGGCCCGAGCGCTGCAGTTGATGACGTTGGGCTCGACGTTCCGCCCCTCCGCTGGCAACCGCTGCTCGCCTGTTCCGATTTGCTGCCGCTGCGAGCCGTCTCGCCAGCGGCGCCCGCTGCTTTCTGCCACCACTGCCTGGCTGTGGCGCACGCGGTGGCCCGAGCGTTGTAGCTAATCATCGGGGGTGGACAGACCTGCTACCCTGACACGTCGATTAAGGAATTGGCCGTTTTCGGTTCGCGAGAGGGCGTCGCGGCCGTCATATTTGCGGGAACAGGTCCGTCGGTGTCGGTCCCAGGCCGTTTTCACTACAGGTTGGTTTCCTAGAGGGAGCTTTGTCCACCGCCGAAATGACGTCTGCCTCACTGTCGCTGCTGCCCGATTCTGGGTGCAGCCGTCCGAATACACTTCCACCACCACGCCTGCGGGTCGGTCCGTCTCTCTCACTTCGCGCGGAGATCACGCAAGTGGCCCGGCAGGGATGGGCGTGCACCACCATGAGCGGGACGTGGGCTCCCCAGTGCGCGGGCCGGGGAGGTGGAGCTCAGGGCTGGACCGAAACGTTGCTTGGAAGAGTTCGTGGGCCGTTTCCGTTTCGACTCCGTTTTGCGATAAAAAGGCGGACTGGAGGCACGAGCGAGAGACAACGAAACCAGAACGAAAACGATAAGCACCGTTCGGTTCAGCCCTGGTGGAGCTCCTTGTATGGCGGGCCAGGGAGGCGAGAAGCGGGAGGGCGGCGCGGAGAGAAACAGCGAGGCCAGCGCGAGGCTGCACGCGCGGCCATTGCCTGGCCCCAGGCCTGTGTGTAGTTGATGACGTTGGGTTCCGGCCTCCTTATTGGCTCTGGGGGGCATCGGGGGCGGCAAAGAGGGGGGTGATGACTAGGGGTGGATATCATGGCGGGGACCATGATATTTCCCCAGATTTCATGACGCCTCTTCTTATTTCATTACGTCCCTGGCCACCCCGCTGGGCCGCGCACATGCCGCCGGTCATGATTTGCACCCCCCCCTCTTGGACACCCCCCTCTTGGCCGCCCCCGAGGGCAGGGCCACTCCTTCCTTGAGTCTGTCGTCCCGAGCTCCTCCCCCTTCCCGAGGAGAATGGCTGCGGAGGAGGAGGAGGAGGAGGAGGAGGAGGAGGAACGATGTGGAGGGGGAGAGACGGCACCGAGCAGTGGGAGGGGGAACCCCTCAGGCCATCTAGAGGCCGCAGCCCCCAACGCCACCGCCCCCGAACTTCTCCTCTCTTCACTCGGTCCTCCTGCTCCTCCTTCGCCCTCCTCCTCCTCCTCCACTCTGTCCTCCTGCTCCTCCCCCCTCTCTCCTTCCTCAGTGTTCCTCACAGCTATGGTCTGGAAGGAGGAGACGGCTAAGGAATGCGATCGTGAGGCAGAGGGGGGTTAGTGAGGGGTGGATGAGAAAAGGGGAACTTGCGGTACTGACGCTACTTATGTTGATGATGATGTTAATGCCTCCGCTGCTGATGATGATGACGATGCTGATGCAGCTAATGATGATGATGGTGGTTATGATGATGACGACGATGATGATGCTGATGATGATGAGGATTATGATTATGACGATGGTGGTTGTTATGATGGTCACGGCGACGATGCTGATGATAACGATGTTGACGAGGGCGATACTCATGATGGTGACCATTCTGACGATGATAAAGACGATGATGCTGATGCTGATGCTGACGCTGTTGACGATGGTGATGACGGCGATGCTGATTCTGATGATGTGGATGACGATGGCGATGCGGACGATGATGACGACGACCATGATGATGCTTATGATGCTGATTCGGATTCTGATGATGCAGATGATGCCGATGATTATGATGGTGATGCTGATGATGGTGATGCTGATGATGCTGATGATGGTGGTCGTGGTAGTGCTGATTGTGATGGTGATGGTGATGATGCTGATGCTGATGATGAGTATGATGCTGATGAGGATGATGCTGACCATGCTGATCATGATGATCATGGTGACGATTATGATGCTGACGATGGTAAGGATGCTGTTGATGATGTTGACGATGTTGATGCTGCTGACGCTGGTGGTAAATGATGGTGATGATGCGGAAGGTGATGAGGACGATTATCATGTGGAGGAGGTGAAAGAGGGGGCGGAGGAGGAGGAGGAAACTAAGGAGGAGGAAGAGGAGGAGGAACAGGCGAAGGAGGAGGAGGAGAAGGAGGAGGAGGAGGCCGAGGAGGAGGAGGAGGAGGAGAATGAGGAGGATGAGGATGAGGTGGAGGAGGAGGAGGAGGGGGTGGAGGAGGAGGAGGAGGAGGAGGAGGAGGAGGAGGATGCGAGCAGCCCAGACATGCGATGTCCCCGGTCTTTCCATAGTGTGGGGTCCCCGGAAGTTCCGACCCTTTCCCCGGGGCTAGCTTCTCGTCCGAAGTCGTTTCTGTGGACGGTCCCGCGGCCAGGTGAGGGCCCCCAGAGGCCGAAGAGGGCCAGCAGCTTCCCGGCCCGACCCTTCCAGGACGCGAGCACGATAGGGCCCGTGGCTCCGCCCGTGGGCACCCCGAGCCGGGCCGGGCCGGGCCGGGCCTCCGCCCGACGCCCCAGAGCGGCGCGCGGCGCCTGCCGCGCGCGCGCACCGCGCGCGGGCGACGGCGCCCCAGCCATCTCGGCGTGCTGCGTGGACTTCGAGCGGCGGCAGGTGCTGAGCGCTTCGGACGACGGGCACGTCAACCTCTGGCGCCCGTGCGGGGGCAGGGGTGGGGGCGGGGGGGACGGGCGGAGGACGAGGATGGGGGAGGAGGGGGACGAGGCGGAGGAGGGAGGGAGGAGGGAGCAGGAGGAGGAGGAGGGGGACGAGGGGGACGAGGCGGAGGAGGGAGGGAGGCGGGAGCAGGAGGAGGAGGAGGGGAGGAGGGGAGGAGGAGGGGGGGAGGGTCGTCGGGAACGGTGGCATAATGGAGAAGCCGTGCTCGATGCAGGCCAACAGCTCGCACTATTCCTTCAGAGGAAGAAGAGATGAGGCCGATGAGGGTGCGCCGCGCCTCCTGCTCTGTCTCCGCGAACAGGGCCAGCCCTAGTCCCATTGAGGGCTGGTGGGGCAGGGCGGGCGCGGATGGTAAGACGCTCTGCACGCTGCTCTCGCGCTGCATCCCTGATCGCGGCGGTCCGCGCTCGCTGTGCGTCGGTGAGGGGGAGGGGAGGTGGAGGAGGAGGAGGAGAAGGAGGAGGAAGAGGAGGATGAGGAGGAGGACGAGGAGGAGGAAGAGGAGGAGGAAGGGGGATGGGGGAGGGGTCGGGCGAAGCAGGGGCGGAGGAGGAAGAGGGAGGGACGTCACCGAAAGCGCCCACCGGCGACAGCTCGCGCGCGGGCAGTGTGTGTGTCTGTGTGTGTGTGTGTGCGTGGTGGGCACTCGTGCGAGGGCAGCGCGCGCGGCGCGCCGTCGCGCACGTCAGCTCGGCGCCATCTCTCGTCGAGTGGCGGCAGGGCAGCGCGCGGCCAGTGAGTGCACCACGCGCGTCGATGGCACTGCCAAGGCGCGCGGCGGCGTCATGCCACCCTTCGCTGCCGCTCCGGAAGGCGGCCCGCTCACTGGCAGCCTCGGTCTCGGGAGTCTCGGGGGAGGTGCCTCGCGGGAGAGGCCTCGTCTTCCCCCGATGCGTCAGGATCTGAGTCAAGAAACCAGCCCATCGGCCTGTCAAGAGTGGCGGGATCAACATCGGAAGGCCTAGTGCTCGCACTGGTCGAACGGTAGAGTGGCGGCGCACGGAGCCGAGGCTGTCACAACGATGGGATGCCACCTTTCAGAGGTGGGGGCTTTGAGGGCCCAAGTCGCAGGAGCCGGGTGCTCTCACCAAGCCCCAGTCCCCGCTCTAAGATGCTCAGCCATGAGGCGAGCCAAAGCGAAACAACAACACTGCCTACCCGAAGCTGCCCCTCTATCCTCTCGGTGGCCAGTGGAACTCCCCAAGCATGTTCAGATGACCTCGAGGTGGCACGAGGGGGCCCACGCTCGTGACACCTCGAGACGGACCAGGCTTGCACAGGAGGGACCCCTCAGTGCTGGTATCCCCGTGTGCCCGAGTATGCTCAGCCCATTACAGCACATGTATGTATTCATATACATATGCATACACATATCTTACAATACATGCATTTATACATATGTATATATATATGTATATATATATATATATATATATATATATGTATATTGTAGTGGCCTCCGGCCAGTGCCGCCGATCCGGGGCGCTCCGGGTGCCTGTGGAAATGAACGACGACGAGGAAGACGAAAACGACGACGAACACGAATACGTCTACGACGACGACGACGACGAGAGCGACGACGACAACGACCACGACGACGACGACGACGACAACGACCACGACGACGACGACGACGACGACGACGACGACGGCGATGACGACGACGACGACGACGACGACGACGACGACGACGACGACGACGACGCGACGACAACGACGACGACGACGACGACGACGACGACGCGACGACGACTACGACGACGACGACGTACGAACGAACCGACGACGACGACGAACAGACTGACGACGCACGACGACACGACGACGTACGACGACGACGACCGACTACGGGGGGCAGCTTGGTTTGCATGGGGGGTGGGTCTGCTCTGCAGGGGGGGTCCGCTCGGCAGAGGGAGGGGCTGCATGGGGAGAGGGGGGGTCCGCTCTGCAGGGCGGGGGGGGGCTGCAGGAGGGGGGGTCTGCTCTGCAAGGGGGGGGTGCAGGGGAGGGGGGGGGGGACCCTCCTGTGCGGGAGGCGGAGCGAGCTGCACGGGAGGGGGTCCGCTCTGCAGGGGGAAGGGGGTGGCTGAGCTGCAGGGGGGGAGGTGTCCGCTCTGCAGGGTGACGGGGTGCAGGAGGGGAGGTCTGCTCTGCAGGGGGGAGGGGGCAGAGGAGGGGAGGGGGGTTCGTTCTGCAGGGGGAGAGCTGCAGGGGGGAGGTCCGCTCTGCAGGGGGGGGTCCGCTCTGCAGGGGAGGGGGTGCAGGGAGGGGGGGGGAGGGTCTGCTCTGCAGGGGGGGGGGCTACGGGTAGAGGGGGTGCACGGGAGGGGGGGGGGTCCCGCTCTGCAAAAAGGTTAGGGGGGCAGCAGGGCAGCTTCAGAGCTTAGGGGGGAGCACTGCTCGGCAGAGGGGGGGGGGGGTGTGACTAGGGGTGCATGAAAAGGGGAGGGGGGGCTCTGCAAGGGGGGTAGGGACCCGCCCACTGGGGGGTGGGGGTGCGAAGCACTGAATTATGTGTAAAGAGCACCCCCCCCGGCGCCGCAGAGCGGAGCTAGAGCGCACGGCGAGCCCACTCTCCTCAGAAATCACACACCTGATCAGGGGGGGGCTCATGGGGAGGTCCCGCTCTTCAGGGTGGGGGTCTAGCCTCTGCAAGGGTAGGGGGGTGCTAGGGGAAGGGGGGGATCTTTCCGTCCTCAGCCCTTCAGGGGGTTGGGGGTCAGCAGCAGGGGGGGTCCCGCTCCTGCAGGGGGGGGGGGGGGGGGGGGGGGGGCAGCTGTCAGAAAACGGTGGAGGGGGGGGGGGCTCTGTGCAAAGGGGGGGGGGGGGGGGGTATGTTGGGGTGGGATTGGTGATTGTGGGGTGGGTAGGGGGGGTGGGGTAGGTGGGTCCGCTCTGGAGGGGAGGGGGTGCGAAGCACTGAATTAGGTCGGAAATGAGGTCCCCCTTATAGATCTGTCCTTCGTAAGGTCACCGCTGATGCCGTCGATGGCGAGATCAGCGGTCGAAGTGAACGCTTCGGCTTCCGAGGATGACGCCAGTCCCTCTAGCTGCCACTGGAGGTCGCATTCGCGGCGCTGGCCGCCGAACAGATTCAGAGTGCAGCAAATTGGGCGACGAAGCTAACTTGCAAGCATCAGAGTGGCAACTTCTACATCATCCTGATTGCGATATGGGTAGACTGGGGTGTCCCAAGACTTGTCCGATGTAGCTTGAGGCTCAGGCTCGAAGACCCCAAGGAACTCGGATACGGAGGCGGGGTCCTGGCAACAGACCGGTTCGAGCAGCACCTCCTTAGCCTGAGAATCGGACAAGGATTGCAGAAGCACACGCAACGCATTAGGGGCAGACCCGTCCGATCTATGGGCAGTGACATTGATACTGGACAATGGGCTGCAGAAACACGCGCAACTCTTCTGGTGGTGGCAGTGGTACTGATGATGGTGATGATGATGGTGGCACTCATGATGAGGATGAGGAGGCGGAGGAAGAAGAGGTGGGAGGAGGCCAGAGGATGCGATGGGGAGGAATGCAGTTCTCATCGTTCACCCGTTGCCTCTCTCCCTCAGCGCCATAGGCACATGGGGGACCTTCAGCGGATATGCAAGATGAGGGCGCACACGGACAGGGTGACCAAGATGCAGGCTCGCCGCGATCTTGTCGTATGGTCCTTTTTCCCTCTCTCTCTCTTGCTATGCTCGTAGAGGCATGACATTCGACGCACACAGAACCACAGCGTTTAGGGCTGCTGTTTACCCGCCAACCTCCGTTGCCCCCATATCTCCACACCAACCACCGCCGATGCCGAGCTCCCCCATGCGTATCCAGAGCAGCACAAGTCGGTCCGAAAGCCCCCATGCCCCGTCCTTCACCCCCCCGACTTCTGCCCGACAACGCCAGGCTTGGATCCCAGACCCCCGGAGGCCCAAAATCAAGAAACACCTTCCGTCACGATTTTTTCATCGCTCGAGGGGGCCTGGGTCCGTCGGCCCCCGAGGTTGGGAGAGGGAGGGCGGGCCCGGCCCCCGCCGAGCGACCATCCCGGACGCCCCGTCGGCCCTCGTCTGGGCCGGGTGGCCCCGGGCGCGGCTGCTGGACGCCTGGAGGCGCGCGGCGGGAGGGGAGGCACGGGCAGGGGCCCGGGGGCCGCACTCGGCGAGGCCCGGGCAGACGGCGGGGTGCTTCGCTGGCGGCCAGTGGGCACAGCGGGAGTCCCAGACCCCCTCGAGGAGTGACAAAAGTCATGGCGGAGGGTTTCTCTCGATTGTCGACCTCGGGGGGCCCTCACAGGGCCTCGGGAGCGTCAACAAAACGACTCAGGATGCAAAGCCGGTCATGGGGAAGGAGTCGGAGCCTCTGAGGGTCGACGTAACAAACAATCATTACGTCGGGGGTCTGGGGAGCGCGTCTCACGGTCGCTTGGTTTCTTTATCTTCTGGCGCGCAGCGGGTCATTATTCCCCCCCCCCCCCTGGTAACGGTTATCGATCGTTCAGGGGTGGACCTGAACGGTGTTTTGGCGATTTCGTGGGCTGTTTTCGGTTCGATGTCGTTTTGCATGCAGCAAAGGCGAATTCAAGACAAAACGAGGGAAAACGAAAACACAGCGAAAACGAAAAACACTGTTTAGGTCCAGCCCTGCGATCGTACGCAGGGGGGGGTGCTGGACCACCCCCTGCGTACGATCGCAGGGCAATCGGCTCCGATCAATCGGTCGCGATGCAAACTGGTCTCATCAATGCCCTGCAGAGCCGACCGGCCCTGGGGGAGGATGGCCGCGTCAGGACGACACGATGGCCGAGAGAGAGGAGAAAGAGAGAGAGAGAGAGGGAGAGGAGGAGGGGTTAACATGAGCCCGTTGCGATGCTTTGCTCCCGTCGGCGTCGTCTTGCTGTCCCTCCTCCTCCCCCGCCTTGTGCAACGCAGCCTGGGCGTGCACTTGTTCAGCTCGAAGTTCCCATTCCAGACCGTGCCCCGTGCCCCTCATGGTGGCCGAGCTCTGTTCGTTCGGATCCCGACCGACTGACGGCGATACCAGTGCCGAGCTTGACAGAGCTCGGCCTATCGAATCTCTTCCTTTCCCGCGGATGTCAACATGCGGTTGCGAGGTCTGCCCAGCACACGCATGCGCTTGTCAGCCGTCGAACCTCGCCGCCCACAAAGCCGTGACCGCTCAGGAGGACGAGGAGGAGGACACGGGGTAGAGTATTGAACATAAGCACGAAGGTGATGATAAGGGGCAGGGGGAGGGAGGGAGAAGGAGGAGGGAGGAGGAGGACGCGCAGGAGGAGGAGGAGGAGGAGGAGGAGGAGGAGGAGGAGGAGGAGAGAGGAGGAGGCGGTGGGGGGAGAGGAGGAAGGAGGAGGAGTAGGAGGAGAGGGGAGGAGGAGGGGAGGCCCCAACCCAGGCATACATCACGAGGGGCCAATGGTCTCTGGCTCTGCCGACCAGTCGGCGCTGGTCTGGGACATGGCTCCCGAAGCCTCCCTCCTGGAACCGCGCGCTAGGGGCGGCGGCGGGAGGGGTGTGGTCAAGGAGGCGGAGGGGGGCATCCCAGGGGAGGAGGAGGGAGGAGGAGGAGGTGGGTAAGGAGGAGGAGGAGAGGAGGAGGAGGAGGAGGAGGAGGAGAGGAGGGGGAAGGGAGGGGGATGAGGAGAGGCGGGGGAGGAGGAAGAGGTTGGCATGCTGACGGTGCTGATCGTGATAGTTAGTGATGATGGTGGTGGTGATGGTGGTGATGGTGTCGGCGGCATTGGGTAGTGATGCTGACGGGGAAGGGGGGATAATGACGTTGATGATGCGGAGGAGGAGGAGGAGGAGGAGGAGGAGGAGGAGGAGGAGGAGGAGGAGGAGGAGGGGGAGTTGGATAAGGAGGAGGAAGAACGGAATGCTTAGGAGGAGGACGACGAGAAAGATGATGACGAGGAGCAGCAGGAGGCGGAGGAGGAGGACGAGGAGGAGCAGGAGGAGGATGAGGAGATCAATGATGAACAGCATGGCGGGGATGAGGAGGTTTCGGGGGCGTGGGGAAGGCGGAGGAGGATGGGGAGGAGGAGGAGGCGGAGGAGGAGGAAGAGGAGGAGGAGGAGCAGGAGGACGAGATTGAACGTCGAGGCCCTCAGAAGGGACACCTGGCTGGATCAATCTGCAATCTGCCATATACTGTGCAACTCAGCTTGCGCACGAGCTATCGGCGACTCGTCACTGTTACCCCCCAGTGCACTGACAGCTTCCAGTATCAGCATCAGTTCCTGCGCCAGCATGCGATCATTCGTCTCACTTCACCGTGTCTGATGCTGACCCAGCATGCGATCCTAATCAGGTGCTCTATCACTTGCGTTTTTTTTTCAGCAGCAGCCGAAGCATTGTACAGGGCAGCGCAAGCTTTTAACAAGCCAGCGCCTGTACAGACCTACACCACCGAATACCACCTGCTGCCGTGCAGTGCTCCGCTCACTCGACAGTTGGGATATTTCTCCTCATGCGTATGTTTCGGATCATATTGGCCCCATTCCAACTCCACTTACAGCGTGCGCCGTTACTCTGTGAACGTGCGTGCCAAACTCCATTTCTTGCACTCTATCGCATTCATGGTCTACTGTTTGGCTGGTGCTGCTGCCCGTTGCGTCATTACCTGTTGACACCGAGACTACACCACCAATGTCTGGTATTTGCCTATTTGAGCGCTGATGCTACAGCGAGTTGAGCAACAGCTCGGGCGTCAAAAACGAATAACTGAGGAAGATCCGAACTCCGCCTTCCTCCTCCTGTTATACTTCCTCCCACCTGCTCTATCCGCATCCTTCCTCCTTTCAGCTCCATCTGCCTCCGACCTGTTCTGCCCTCGACCCCTCCTCCTTTGCCTCCTGTTGCCCCCCCCCCCCTGCTGACATTCCTCCTGTCCCCCATCACCCATCCCAGACGTCCGATGCCGTGCTTTCGTTCGCATCGTGGCTTCCCACTGGTCTGGACCCCTTCCTGTCGGAGGTGGATAGACCTCCTACCCTGACACTTCGATTAAGGAATTGGCCGTTTTCGGTTCGCGAGAAGGCGTCGCGGCCGTCATTTTTGCGGGTTCAGGTCCGTCGGTTTCGGTCCCAGGCCGTTTTCACTAAGGGGAGGTTTACTAAAGGGAGGTTTATCCACCGCCGATCTTGGGTCCCGGCTTTTCATCCCGAGCCGTTCTCTGACAGTCCCAAGCGGCCCCTGGATGGCCGAAAAGTGGAGGCCTTCCGCCGTGATCTTTTTGCTGCGCGGCACGCGAGGGTGGGGAAGTATCCTCCTCCTCCTCCTCCTCCTCCTCCTCCTCCTCCTTCCCCTTCTCCTCCTCCTCCTCCTCCTCCTCCTCCTCCTCCTCCTCCTCCTCCTCCTCCTCCTCCTCCTCTCATCTCCTTATCATCTCATCTCCTTCTCCTTCCTCCTTCCTCCTCCTTCTCCCCCTCCGTTTTTCTTCCCTCATCCTCATCCTCATCCTCATCCTCTCTCCTACTCTTCCTCCTTCGTCCTCCTGCTCTTTTCCTTCTCTCTCCTCCTCCTCCGTTCTTCTCCCTCCTCTTCTTGCTCCTCCTCCTCCTCCTCTCACCTCCTCCTCCTCCTCGTCCTCCTGCTCCTCGTTCTCCTCCTCATCCTCATCCTCATCCTCATCATCACTCCTCCTCTTTCTCCTCCGTCCTCCTGCTGTTTTCGTCCTCTCTCCTCCTCCGGCCTCCTCCTCCTCCTCCGTTCTTCTCTTCCTCCACCTCCTCCGTCCTCCTCTTCCTCCTCCTCCTCTTCCTCCTCCCTCCTCCTCCTCTTCCATCCTCCATTTTGGCTCAAGCGATCGCATGCCCGTCGCCTCGGCCGTCCCCGCGATGGCCGCCGCGCGAGGGGCTAGAGGGGCTCTCTCGGTCTCGGACGGCGCCGCCCTCGTTGCTGCCGCTGTCCGTGCCGCGGTGCTGGCCAAAGTACCGCGGCGCACGGTCGCTGCCGTGGCGCGCTCGGCTGTGTCGGCGGTGGCGTTCGCCGCTGAGGCACCGCCTGCGGCGCAGCCTGGTGGCGATGGCGCCGCGAATGCTGGCAAGCAGGACCCGCCTCCCCTGACGGCGGCAAAGGTTGAGCGACGTCGCCGTCGGCGCCGTCGCCTCGCGGAGCGGCGCGCTGCGGCGCGCGCTGGGCGGCCTGATGCAGCTGATGGGGATCGTGGAGTGCGTGCTGTTGTCGGGAAAGCTCATGGCGATGCGGCCGCATCCGACGTGAGCTTGGACGACGACTCCTGGGCCGACGGCGTGTCGCGGCCCGCTCCGCTGGCGGCTGCCGCCGGTGGTTCGGGCGCTGACTGCCCCGGCCCTTCCGCTGCCGCTGGGCCCGCGATGCTCTCGGACGCGGTGGTTGGGCCTTCGCGGCCCTTGGTGGAGGATCTCAGCACGCTCTCGCGCGAGCAGCTTGTCGCGGCGACGCTCGCGCACTTCGAGGCGACTGGCCTGTCCACCGATGGCTTCTCTTCGGCGGTCTTCGAGCAGTTGTCGGACGAGCTCCTGCGCACGCAGCTCGCCATGCTCAGGGCCGAGCTTTGAGAGGCTGGCCTGCCTGGGCCCCGCTGTCACCTTGTGGTTGGGCCGCTGCTTGCATGCCCCAGGTGCGCAGTGGGTGTTCCCAGGTAGGCCCTTCCCCTTCGGTCGGCGGCACGTGTGAGCCTCTCACGGAAGCTCGGTTGCCGTCTGGCCGTCGGGGCTCCATATCTAGCCTGCCGTCGTTTGTGCAAGCAGACGACGTTCCAGTCGGCGCCCACCACCATCCTCTTCCATCCTCGTTCCTTCTCCCCCTCCTCCTCTTTCTCCGCCTCCTCCTCCTCCTCCTCGTCTTTCCTCCTCCTCCGCTTCCTCTCTCCTCCCCACGTCTCAAGACATACCATCACCCCGAGCCCATGACGGTGAACGCGAGTGCCGGGACCCAGCGCGCGTGCCAGGGAGTATCGTGCCGCATCATGTCGTCGGAGCATCGGGATCGAACCTTATCGAATTGGCCAGAGTCGATGCCGAATCGAATCGATCAGCTTGGCATGGACCATGTCTGGGTTGCTGGGAGGGGCTGAGGGGCGGGGCCGCGCTCGAGGCGGGGCCCGCTTGAAATCGAATCGTCTCGGGGGGCGTAAGTGAGGGGCAGCGAGGGCTGCCGCAAAGGGGCCGCGTCGGGCCCCCTCAAGGGTCCCTCTCGGGCCCAGGACGGGGCCTTGGTAGGGTCCGATAAGGGATAAGGGCACCTCTCTTCCCCATCGGATTTGTATCGCCCCCCCAATCATTCGCGCCCAATCTCACCGCCCACCAAACTACCCCAGCCCAAGCCGAGGGCCCCGATTTGCCCCCCATTTCCAGCGGG